TATATATATATATATATATATATATATATATATATATATATATATATATATAAAGACCAAAGTGACTCGGATGAGCTTTGTGGTCCATGGACCTATTCTTCACTTTTTCATTTCTCATTCCATTTTCCTTTTAATGAAGAAATGTTTGAAAAAACGAGCCAAAGAGAGAGAGAGAGAGAGAGAGAGAGAGAGAGAAAGAGAGAATGAGAGAGAGAAAAAAAGAGAGAGATATTGTAAATAGTGTATTGTATATATTGAATGTTCTTTTCTGCTGCCATCCTAAAGAGGCTGTCGGGATGGCTTTTTTTTTTATTGTTACAGATAATTGGCGTCTTTTTAAAATGTGATCTTATAGTGTGATGTACTGATATTTCTCTTAGATTTTATAGTATATAATATATTATATAATGCTTATTTCAATCATATTGTAGGTGTTTAAAAATAATAGTGTATTTCATACAGGTACACATTCATTCATGTAAGATGAGTTTGATGTGGCCTTTAATATTGGATATAAGTACTTGCCTTACAAATGTATTTTACCATCTTAGCCAAAGTGTAACATACCTTACTCAATCAGTGTTAATTTTCCTGAGAACGAAATTTTTAAGGTTCCAAATTTGAACCATTTTTCTAACTTATTTACATCGTCAAAGATCTTACTTTACATTATATACATGTTCATGTTCAACAAAATTTTCTTATAGATTTTATCCTTCAGTGAAATCTAAAAAAAGGAGACTTTTCGTAGGCCAACGTACATTAGTGAAATTTAAGAAATAATGACTTTTCTTAGTCTAACGTTTTCTTACATCTAAATTAACTGTTATCAAGACAGTGATTCACCCTAAGTAAAAACCCGAATACACCGTGATAACCTGTGAGATATGTCTTTATGGCTGTATAACTATACATTTGAAAAGAGGAATAAGGATATTTTTAAAATGAAAACTGAAATTTGACAATATAAAAAAATTGCAACAATAAAACAGAGTCAAGGAGTATAATTTTGATTTTCTTTTTAAAAAAAATAATAAAGGCAAGAATAACTAGATGAGACAGAAATTATAGGCAATTTAAAGAATTTAATCAATGAAGAAAAATTTGACAAAAGGCCCAGTGTAAAGCTGAATAATGACCCTCGTAGAAAATGACAGGGAGTGTCATTTTTTGACGTCAAAAAATGACCATCCGGTCTTACAAAAATGTAATTTTTTGTAGAAAAAAAAAACACTAGGGGTCAATTTTATACATGTGCAATCTTTTACATATTGATCCCCTTTGAATTATGAACCCCTCCCAACAGTTATACAAAGTTTAAAAGAGGTGATTGATGACAAGGTTTGGTTCTCAACGTTTAATTTTCTTGCATTTTCCTGACGAGCACTGGAAAAACAAGCAATTAAAATGTAATATAACAGCATTAAAGGTGTCCAGATCTATTATGCCATTTTCGATATTTTACATGAAAAAGAAACAAATGGCAAACTAACAAAAACTTTGATAAACTTGACTTCAACTTTTCAATGGTCAACATCCCTTATTATGTAGCAATAAACCATTATCGCCTGCATATAGAACTTTTCTACCAAATGGATCGATATGCGAGAGCATGTTCTTTTTACGAACTATTTCTAAAACGAGGCAAACTACTGACAAATAAGTTGATAATACAAGGATATCAACAGTCTCGTTTTGTCAAAACATTTTGCAATTTTATGGTCAATACAATGACCTTGTTACCATATACATGTACAATCTATCGTTGAGTCGAATGTTGACAGACGTTTTTTCATTAAAATAGTTAAGCCAATTATCTTTACATTGAATTGTCTACGGATTTTTCCGTTTGCCCGATTATGACAAGGAGCAACAGCGGGTGTGACCGGTTGACAGGGAATGCTTAACCTCCATATCACATGATCCCTCCTCTAATGCTTTTTAAAGGTCCGTGTTTGCTCTTCTCCATTGTAATGTTCCAATGGACTTTTGAGCTTGATTACTGGTTATTATCTTAATATTTCACCTATTGAGTATTCAGCACACAAGAAAAATTGCACAATAGGTACGTTACAGTGGCTATTGGTTAAAACTGTTATCTTAATCTTTCTTTTTTCATCCCTTTCATATTTGGATACTTTATTAATTATAGACGCTTATTGCCAACTAACAACTAAACTACTGACTAACGGGATGACTTCCGAATCGGCAAGTTCATATATATATATGTATGTAGTAAAATTCTGCTTTCGCCTGCATATGGTGTGTAAGTCTTCAAACATATTCGGTTTGCATGCTCTGTATCCGATCAACTTTTCAGCAGTCTCAAACAAAGTAAGCATATCGAAAATTCCTAGAATCTTCATAAACAATGTTTCAAAAATCCATGAAGGCCATAACTTTTATAGATACGGAATGTTATACAATAGTATGGGGTGATAGAAGACCAGAAAAAATATATAATTGTTTTTTTTAAATTTATTTATTTACCTTGTCATTGATCATTTACGATAATGGTAATCTAGCAATAAGACTTTATGATAAATGTGATAACTTCAATTTTTCTGTTGTCAACTTCCCTTACTTCTGTTGCAATGTACCCTTATCACCTGCATATGTTTTATGTTTCCCAGTTTATTCGATATACAAGAGCATGCTCTACGTAGGAACAATGTCTAAAAGAAGGCAAGTTATTGACAAACAAGTTAATAAATTAAGGATATCAACAGTCTCGTTTGCAAGTTCTATGGTCGATACGGTGACCTTGTCAGAAAGTACAATCTTTCATTATGTCGAATGCTCACTGATTTTTCATACCAATTGTTAGACGATTCATTATTTAAACACTGAATTGTCTACGGATTTTTCGGTTTGCCTTGCCATGAAAAGGAGCATACGTACGGCGCCTGTGACCTGTCGACAGGGGATGTTTACTCATCCATGACACCTGATCCCACCTCTGATGTATTGGAGATCCAATTTTGCTCTGCTCCCGATTTGTATTGTTTGAATGGACTTCTGAGCTTGAATACTGTTCGTTATCTTCATATTTCATATAAATGATCTATCATTCTTGATAATGATAGAGAACATGCAGAAAATCAAAGATGATAGATGTGTAAAGCACATGAATTAATCACTTTACGGATGAGAAATGGATATCTGCATGGAGAAGTTTTATTTATTGACTCCAATCCTTTACGATTTCAGGGGTTTCATACAACTTTTACTTGCAGTGTAGGTTAAAATTGTTCGCATCTCCACCATTAATTTGTTTGCTATATACAATGGATAGTTAATTAATTGGTTTTTTTCTTGGTTTTAATTAAAATGTACCAAAAGTATCTAAAACATCGCACAAATCTTCTTATTCAAAAATGTAAGATACTTTTGTGTCCGAAAAATATAAGTATGTACACTACTTTTAAATCACTGACTTAAAAAAAATACATGCATGTACTCAAATGCAACTTGATCAACTGATTCAGTTAGATAGACATTATAAACAATTCTCTCTCTCTCTCTCTGGAATACATTTATTTATATGATACATTTGTCAAATCAAAATGAAAGCATTTCCACATATTGAATTCGGTTAATGTTGTCATTTTATTTTATAAGACATAATTTTATTCGAAAGATTTAATGAGGTCAAAACATCATCCCTGTATGCTAATTTTACATATACCTCAAGTGAGCATTTTGGCCTTTTTGATTTATAATTCTTAAAACTTTTAATCAAAAAGAAAAATACATGTATATCCCTAACAAAATCTACAGTGGGTCGAAATGACCCCCGGTCATTACTCTACGGGGCGCATTATTCGTCTTTACAACGCCTATGTTGACGAAATATGTTTAGGGCGACACCGTAACACACAAACAGGAAAAATAACAAACAGAATTTTTGCATGACCCGTGCAAATTATGTTCAATTCTTGAACGTATTAGGTTTCGAAAAATTACAGGTTTAGGAACCTAAAAAATCAACTTTTATGGAAAAAAAATAATTTTTGTATGGCCCAAGACGAAAATATTGCTTTACTTCTTCCTCCTTATTGTATGCGTGCGCAGAAAAGTTGAGGAAGTTACCATGGTCTTAAGTACCAAAAAATGAATGTCGGTAGACCAACAATATTCAAAAAAGATTATTAGAACATATTTCTCACCTTTGTAACCTTTGCAAGCTCCTATTGAATGTTGTTCACAAGTTTACGCTTAAGATGAAAGTTGCGTTACCTGAACATGTACGATAACAACGAAACGGTAGATACAAACTTTGTTTTTCCAGCACTTATATTGTGCAGTATTTTCTTGCTTTACAGTGCAGTTATAGTTGTCATATCTTCGCTATACTCATAATTTTCATAAATCTTTTGCTTTATGATACAGATATCTTTAAGAAACACTTGATTTTGACTCATTATGTAACTTTAAGGAAAACTGATTTTTCTTTGAAATGACACCCCCTCCCCAAAAAAATCAAAGCGAATGAGATCCCAGCCTTCTTGAATGAATAATGCAATAGCATAGCTTTCAAAGTTATAAAACGTGATCATGGATATTAATGTTTTTGAACTACAGATCAATTCGGACAGGTATCATTGTTAAGGTCAAGATCTATTGAATGAAGAGTGCCTACAGACTTTTCAAATTTGAGAAACAAATTCTTTTATCACAGGACTCAAATAATCATATTAACTGTAAGCGCTTTCTGTCTTATAATGGCTCTTCTGACAGATACAAAATGATTTTTTTTTTAGGTCAATTCGATGATTTAGACACCTGAGAAGTACAATATTCATCGAACCCAAGTGAGTATATTGATATGTAAGTATATGTAAGAATATGATTTCATCCAACTCTCTGTATTTTTTCTGTCTAGTCGCCAAAGATTCAAATACAATATGCACAATTGTTGGATAAAATTAATTCCCAAACACTCAACATGTGAAATTTATAATTATATACTAGCATATTGAGATTTTACTGGATGACACCCAGTTATAAAGAGGTTATGTACATGTTACACCAGCATCTTCATTATGACCACAGTTTTCTATTCCGTAGCCATTGTGCTCACAATCGAATATGGAAACTTCTCTACCATTGCAGTTAACATTATCCAACCATGTTGAACCCAGTCCTTGTCCAAAATAAGCGGACATGTGAGCAGTTGAGATTCTGGCACAAAAAAATTCAATAATTTAAAAGTGAGGGAAAACTCGTATACTTTTTTTAAAATATAAAACAACAGATTATTCTTTAAAAATAGATAGCCTACCCTAAATATCCAAGACTTCTGCACACCACGGTTGCATCTTCATGTCCCCAGCTATCATCACAAACAGTGCCCCACTTCCCATTTATAAACACCTCTACACGCCCCTCTTTGTTTGATGATCCATTTACGAGTCTAGTAAAATCTGTATTAAAAAACAATTATAGAGTAGCAGATATTCATTATAAATACTAGGTGTATAACATTTTTTTTAAAAAGGAACCAAATAACTATGCTAGGATAAAGAAACCCAAATGCATATGAGTATATTTATATGAAATATGACGATAAAGAACAGTAATCAAAAGCTAAAAAGGTTACTGAAACAATTTAATTTGTGATTAGAGAAAATACAATCCTCTAAGAACATCAGAGGTGGGATCGGGTGCCATGGGAATAAGAATCTCCTGGCGACCTGTCACACCCGCCGTGAGCTATTTGTCATGACCGGGAAAGCGGAAAAATCTGTAGTCAATTCAATGCTAAAATAATGGCCTTACATTTTTTTGAAAGATGTCAGTCAACATAACATCAGAGTGTATTTGCAAACAAGGTCATTTTATCGACCATAGAATTTGCCAAGCATTGACTTCAAATGAGATTGTAGGTACCCTTGTATCATCGTGTTTTTCAGTCGTCTGTTTCGTTTTAGAAATTGTTCGTTCAAAGGACATGCTTTTGCATATTGATTCAACTGTGAGACATAAACATCATCTACAGGTGCTGGTGGTTTATTGCTAGACAAATAAGATAGTTGACGATAGAGAATTTGAAGTCATTACACATCATAAAATTTAACTGTAGTTTGCATTCAGTGTTGACACTAGAATATTTGAAGTCATAACATTTTTTATAAACTTTAGTCATGAGTTTGCATTTAATGTCTTTCTCTATTAAAATATTCAAATATGAAGCAGTTTTGTCAGATTACATGGTGTCTTTTATTTCGAGTTCAGTGGGATATACCGAGTGTCAAGGTGTGGTAGAAGAAGGCGCTAAAACATTTTTGTGTGCACATTTTTCTTTATATATGATTGGCTAGTACCTATAGTGATTACATGAAATTTCTAACCATTTTTAACATATATGACTTCGAGTTGCATGTTAAACAATGAAGAAATAGTAATTTTTGTTTGTTTTGTATATTGTAAATTCAATTTACCTTAATATGCAAACATCACATTTCAATATTGGCATCATGTTTACCAATTTGCGAGTCATATCAGAGTAAGGCAGTGGTAAAGATTTTCGTGCCATATCTGAGCAATTTGAACTGTTCCTTTCAAAGTAATAGTTAATGATGTTGTCTTGTTACATAAATGCATCGAAGCTTCTTGTTTTGTACAGCGTTGATGGTTTATATAATCTTAACATTTCTTTTTACAACTACACATGTAGATCTGAAAAGTATTAATCAGTGTCTACAATAAATTGATGATTCAGTAATCATGACAAATGCATAATTCTTGTCTCCGGTCCTCTGCATGTTGGCCTTATTATTTTTAGGAAGTTTAAAATCATCTCAGTTTAATTAAAAACAGTTCGTTCTGGGCTTATATTGTATTTAGCTACACATGTGAATCTTTACTCTTGTAAAAGCATACAATTAAATATCCCTGAGTCAATGATTTAAAAAAAAATAAGTAATTATATTTCTTTGTTTTCCTTTTTTTGATTTTGCAGAATAGATAATGATTAATAAATTTTCATTAACAGAAGAAGCTTTTTCTTACACTTTATTCTGTTAAGTCAATGTAAAGAATCACGTCTTTACTTTTTCAAAAAAAAACCATGTCTACAGTAAAATATCGAATTAAACCTAATCAAATGTACATACTTCTGACGTCAGTATGACATTGCACCCCCACTTCACCATAAACACTGCAAACATCCGGACCAATAACTCCAGATGCACACTCAGCTAATGTTTGCTCGGTTCCTTTACACCGGAAATCTTTAATGAAGAGATCCCCAAATGAATTTCTGTCCTGTCTGCTGTACATCAATCCACCATGACTAATTAACAGAGAAAAGCAAATCATAAAGAAATATTTTCATGTGTACATATTAGTCAATGAGATATGGCAATTAAATTGTTCTACATTTAGATATATCGACGGCGTATTGTCAATTTACAATGGCTATTTCCATTCTTATGTCGATACGATCCTGGTGAGCTTGAGATAAAAGGTATCACAGAGTCTGACACATCTGTTTCATATTTTTCATGTGGGCAGGGGATGCTCACTCCTCCATTTCACCTGATCCCACCTCTGATGTTTGGAGGTCCGTGTTTGCTCTGCTCCTATTTTGTATTGTTTAATGGACTTTTGAGCTTGAATACTGTTCGTAATATCTCCATCTATTTCATTGCATCGTCTAAGAAGCACCCCATCAAATATATATTAAAAGCATTTAACCATATTTTTAAAAATAATTTTGTTTACAAAAAGTAACTTATTCACCTACAGTGTTCATTAAAGGATTGAGAAAGTTCTGGTATATGTAAGTCACACAATAACGCTAACATCTACATATTTACAATTATTGTTTTGAAGACTGAAGTATCTTATAACTTGTAAATCAAAAACACTTAAGAAGTATGGAATCAAAAAATTATATTTTGGTGGATCTACTGGTATTGTTAATTTTTTAACATTACAAAAATACAAGATTACGATGTTTGAATGTAATTTTAGTGACGTGGTTTTCTGTAGAACTATTAAAGCAAGAATTAATTTATATTAAAAAATTTCATTTGTTATTATCGTGAAGTGTACAAAAAAATGATTTGTCTTTTTTCGTTCATGTGTCCAGCAAGGTCAACAAGATAATTGAAAAGTCTTTGGGACAGACAAATGGAGGGTCAGAGGGGCAATTGAATGCTATAGCGCATTCCATGACCTTATAACTATTATTTTTATTTATATTATCGATAATAAGATCGATTTACATACCGTTTATAAATTTCGTATCTAGTTTATGCACCACCAGTCATTAATTGAGGATACATTTTACTTGAATAAATTTTTGACTCGACAGTTATTTTTAAAGTAGATGCATTCCTAATTGAAAGCAAGTTCTTTAATAACCCAACTTGAATTGATGACATAAACATTAACAACTTGTCATATGCTGCAGCTTTTGTGTTTTAACTATTTCAACGTAATGGATCAGCAGTATATTTTTTTTTTATAAATTATACTTTACCCGGAGTAACTGAGACTCCGGCATATAACTTTTGCTTCTCTGTCATCCCAGCTGTCTTTACACAACCCCACCCAGGTACCACGTACAAGAACACTTGGGTTTACTATAATATCATCGTTCGTGGAATTTCTGTTTGTTATTCTCAATATTTCTGAAAGTAATCAGAGCTTTTGTCAATAATTCGTCATTCTCTCTCTCTCCCTCTCTCTCTCTCTCTCTCTCTCTCTCTCTCTCTCTCTCTCTCTCTCTGAATGTGTTTGAGAGCAGAAAATATCTTTAGAGCTTAAATATAGAATGTGTTTTGCTAACAAAAAATAAATAGAATTAGGTACATTGAACAAATAGCAATTAATATTATCTCACCATTTGACGTATTGTAACAAACGACTCCAATATTTCTTCCGTCAGAATTGCATTTGCTAGATATGACTGAAGATAATAGCCGGCAGTTGAACAGTGAATCTTCATTTCCTTTGCAATTAACATCACCCAGCCATACTGTGCTATTGCTCTCACCAAAGAAGGAGGATAGAACTGGAAAACCTCTACAAAACAAATTACAGTTCTCTGTAACCATAAATAAAGTTCTCTACATGGGCCTAAAATATTATTTATATTCAAAGTGCGACTAAAGTTAAAAAATTAAACAATTAAAATTACCTCGAATACCCAGTGCTTCTACATGTAACTGTAGCATCAAGTCTGTTCCAACCTCCGTCACAAACACCACGCCATTGCCCACCTAGAAAAGTCTCAACTCTGCCTTCATTGGTTGAGCTACCATTTATAATTCTTACTGAGTCTAAAAAAACAAAACAATTGCCGCCTAAGTTAAATTCCTCTGAGTACCCCTGCATTAAATGTTTAAAAATAAAAGACTGTTATTTTAACCAACCATTTCCTGAGTGGTAACAAAGGACTCCGGCGTGTGCGTCATTAACACAGCTGCTTGATTTAACTACAGAAAAGTAACATCCCAACAAGGAAGTTTCAGTTCCGGTACAGTAAACACCCTTTAACATCCATATTTGTTTTATTCCTTCTCCAAATAATGATGATACAGCCGGAAGACCTCTACAAAAGAAGAGGTGAAGTCAAACAAGTATTCAAAAACGAACTTACTACAATTGTTTGCAATTACTGTCGTTAGGTAGATTGTTGATCTTTAACCGTTGAGGACAAAGATCGACAGGGGGTTCTTACTCCTCTACGACACCTTATCCCACTTTTAAGAGTTAAGTTATTCGTATTTGCTCTGCTTTCAATTTGTATTCTTTAATTTGACTTTGGAACATGATTAATGTTCGTTGTCTTCACATTCCATCTTCCAAACTTTAAGGAGGAATGCCATACCAAAATTTTATTTCAAAGATCTTTAAGACATCCCTGTTAAGTTATGGTTTCAGCATTGAAAGGCTGATATTAGCTCTTAATTATTCTATAAGATTTTTCCCCATTTTTTCTTAGAAAATAAAAAAAATGTTTTTTGGGTAAGTAAGATTCTTTAGAGTTAAAAATTTGCTGTTAATGAATGCATGATATGAATATCTAATTAAAAAATGTAAAGAAAAGCTAGATAGACATTTTAATTTTTTTTTTTACTAAAAAATTATTTATGAAAGTAAAACACATTATTTGTGAATATTTTCAAAAAATATGGAAAATATATTCAAAAAACAAGTCACAGCTACAAAGAATATTTTTGACAATAATATTTTTAAAAGAAATTGAAAGAAAATTGCGGAATTTTAGAGAAATTAATTTTTAAATTTTGGCCAATTCCGATCAAAATTAAACTGATGTCAACCATAATTTTATAATAATTGGAAATAGATGAATTTTACACAAGAATACTAGTTTGTTTAAATGTAATATAGGTTAAGCAGTAATTGAACTTGACAATCAAATAGATTTCTTTGTGGTAAATACGTTAAGAAGGCAATAGATTATTTTTATTTATTTTGTGTTAATTTTGATCGGGATCAGTTTAATTTTAATCGGGATTGGTCCAAATATTAAAATAATTATTTTCAATAAAATTTTGCAATTTCGTTTCAATTTCTTTTTGAAATATGATTAATTAACATGTTCTCCCTAGTTGTGATTAGTTTTATGAAAATTTTATCCATAGGTTTAAAAAAATTCACAAATAATCTGTTTTATTTTCATTAAAAGAAAATATTAAAAAAAATTAAAATGTCTATCCAGCCTTTCTTTACATATTTTATTAGACAATCATACTATGCATTTATTAACAGCAAATTTTGAACCACAATCCATCTTATTTGCTAATAAAACATTTTTTTTATTTTCTCTGAAAAAATGCAAAAAAAAAAAATAATAATAATAATAATAATAATAAAAATAAAATAATAAAGAGCTAATATAGATCTTACAATGCTGAAACAATAGTTTAAAAGGGGTATCTAAAAGGTCTACTAAATAAAATTATGGTGTGGCATTCCTCCTTTAGATGCAATTCTGAAGCTCCTATTGAATCTGAAGCAAGAGGCACATAAGCCACATCACTACCCTGAGCAAGTGCTACCCTGCTGTTCTCCATCAGCCGATGTAAAATTTGATCACACATTGTGGCCCAAATCTTCTCCCAGCAGTTATGAATTAAACAATTTTGAATCTAAACTACCCGAGAATGCTTACTTATAAATATGACTCATCATGACCTTGTTTTTGAGTAAAAGATTTAAATAAAAAATCCTATATCTTATCATATAAAACTTTGATCGCCCATTGTGACCCCACACTACCCTTGGGGTCATGATTTGAACAAAATTGAACCTACACTACTTGAAGATGCTTCCATTAAAATTTGACATAATTGCTTTGCTGTCCTTGAGGAGATAGTTTTAATGGATTCTGTCTTATATTCCTATGTAAAAATTTGATCACTCATTGTGGACTAGCCCCTCTTCAGAAGGTCATAATTTGAACAAACTTGAATTGACACTACCTGAGGATACTTCTATATAAATATGACGAATTCTTGACAGGAGGATTTTTAAAGATTTTCTTTCTATATATTCCTACATAAAACTTAACAAACCATTTGCCGCCCCGCCCTACCGCTGGGGGTCATAATTTCAACAAATTTGAACCTACACTATGATTTTATATATATTTGACTTATCATGTATTATCTGTTCCTGAGAAGATTTTTAAAGATTTTTCCTATGCATTTCTATTTAAAACGTCAATCTTAAATCGTGGCCTCACCCTACTTTCAGGGGTGATGATTTGAACAAACTAGAACCTGCACTACCTGAGGATGCTTCCATATAAATATGTCTAATCTAGGCTTTGTTGTTCTTAAGAAGAATTTTTAAAAGTATTTTTTACTAAATATTCCAATGTAAATCTTCGGTTTGGTTTGAACATACTTTATTGTAATTTACAATTACAAAGGAATTCGGCACAAGTTCTGAAAACTTATTACGCCCTCTCCCTAATATGTAAATGTTGCCTACCCCCCCCCCCCCACCAGCCCCGGGGGGCCATGATTCGGACAAACTTCAATCTACACTACCTGAGGATGCTTCCATATATATTTATTTAAATCTTGGCTTCACTGTTCTTTAGAAAACGGTTTTAAAAGATTTTTTTATGTATTTTCTTATTTAAAAAAAACTTTGATCGATCATTGCGTCCCCATCCTATAGCCGGTGTCATAATTTGAACAAATTTGAGCTAAGGCTATATGAAGATGTTTTTTTATAGATATGATTTATCAAATATTTGCTATTTTTGAGATGATTTTTAAAGATTTTACCTATAAATTCCTATGTGAGGCTTTGAACGACTATTGAAAGAGGATGTGGACCTTTTTTATCAAACTTAAATCCCCTTCATCCATGGATGCTTTGTGGCCATTTGGTTTAAATTTTCCCAGTTGTTTTTGAGAAGAAGTCGAAAATGTGTATATACGATAGACGACAGACGGACGCCGGCTAAGTACCATCGATCGGAGAAGCTCACTTAGGCCTTCGGCTCAGGTGAAGTAAAAATGTAGTAAGTTATGTAAATGACTTTTCATGCTCCTAAAATACAATTAGATATTTATGCTCGGAGGCAACAAGAACTCTGCAGTACAGTTTTAACCCGTTTCGTAAGAAAGGCAAAGTGTACGGGTATATTTTACTTTTTTTTATTCAAAAGTTCTAGAAATTCTTTGAATGTATCTTATTTGGCGTGTGCAATATATGTCGGGAATTGATTTCTTATTTTTAGTGAAGTTTTGATTTTGTGCTGTCTGAATGTACATACCGGTAATATAAATAATAGAAACATTTTGTGATGTACCTTATTTATCAGAAGCTGCTTTCCGCGAAAGGTGCTAAATAGAATACAAAGCCATATGTAATACGTTTACAGTAATTTGTTCTAAAACTACTTAATATCCAAATATTAAATCAAAATTAAAAATATTATAAATGATTGAACTCCATGATCATTTACCAAAAACTAAAGTACTTTTTGACGTATTCTGTTTTTATTTGGGAAAATACTCGACTTACATATGTAAGTGTATTGTTGTTCGTGTTGATAGGACATCAGTGAAAGTTTTGACAGAGTTTCATTCAATAAGAGCGGATCTGTTGACTTTGAAAGACAGAAAATACATATCTAATTCGGTAAATTTATTATCATCAGAATCATACTTTTAAAATATTACAACGTAAAACCTGCTCTTCATATTATGCCCCCATAATCGAAGATTCGAGGGCATATACTTTTTTTATGATATAGCTTTCGTACTGTAAAGTTCTGGGTATTCAAAACTTTATTATTTTAGAATGTATGTGAATTTCGAATATGATATCGATCATAAACCCTCAATGATGCGATACGAATCGTGAACAGCTCTAAGCTTCTTTGCTTATTTCAACAAATCAGAGTTTTTTTTTTTTTAAATAAAAGAAATCAGTCAGAATTTGACCTCTCGATAGATTGTAAACAAGATCATTGTATCGACTAAAGAATTTGCAAGTTGTTGACATTTAACGATATTGTTGATCTCTTTGTATCATCAACTTATTTATCTGTAACCTGTCTCGTTTCCGAAATTAAAATTTAGAAATTAAAAGTACAATTTTCTGAAAGACGACTCTTACAAACGGTTTAATCTAAAATATAATGGAATAAACAATTAACAAAAGTTACTTTTGTAAGATGGTTTTTGTTTTGGTTGGGGATGTATTTTTTTTTTCAAAGGGTGACATATCAAGTTACATAATGAAATGTTTGCTCACATTCTCCCACAAATTCACACTTACCCTTTCTAGTTTTTAACAAGAATGCAATATTAGATGAAAGGTTTATCAAAGAGATATAGTATTCCATTTGAAAAATAATTATTGTTGGTGTTGTATTAAATGTTTATAAATCAAAAATATTAATCACAAGATCGTCACGTGACTCAGAGGAGTAAAGACGTGTTTTTCTACTCTCTGTGTTCTTCTGACATTTTTCTGGAATTTCTGTGAAAATTTCAGTCACTCTTGGATTCTTCTCAAATATAGTGATATTTATTCTCAGGATATATGATACAGTGATATTTTAGTGTTTTTGGATGTAGATATTTAGTGAATACTGTGAATGCTTTGTTAACACTGGGCGTGAGTATCTACTCACTCACTGTACGGAGATTTAATTCCTATAGATTGTCATTGTGTGCTCTACAGTCAATAAAAAAAAATGGGAGATAAAAGATTACTTAAACCCGTCTACCTACGAAATAGAGACATACAAACAAACAAAAAAGAACCGATTTCAGACTATGCTCTCGCCTGTGCTGTAAACACAGTGGCATCTGATATCACTTGCGTTCAAAGAGATCGAGATCTCTGGCGCATATATGTCGGGTCGACAGAGAGCCGAAATCTTCTAGTTTCAAACGGATTCACCCTCAACAACGTAAGTGTCTCCGTGTTTGATACTAACCCTTTCTCTGCAGGAACAGAGAAACCAGAGGAAGAGGTTGTGAGGGTCACGGTCAGGGGAGTTCCTCTCTCTGTGGAGGATTCGTGTGTAATCAACATGCTCGAAAAGCTTGGTGC